GGCTCATGGAAGAGAAGAGAACAATCCCACACCTTGGGAAACACGTCCAGCTCTCTTCCTCTCTCTTCCAAGGAGTTCTTTTATTTCTTGTGCTCCACTGATACAAGATCTAGAAAGCTGTTTGAGAATACAGTAGAAGATCTTAAGGTATATAGAAATTCCATTCATACATCCAAACCGGAGACCAAAACCAGCAAGTGACCATACCACGACGACCAGGACGACGAGACGAAGAGATCACCATCGAGATCGCCGCCACGCGCCGCCGGAAGGGAGCAACGGCTGGATCTTGCAGACGCACGTGAGAGCGCGTGAGAGCTCCGTTTTCCGACCGGTCAACGCCGTTGACTTCGCCGTGACGTCAGCTTCCTGGATTGGTCAAGTTTGTTCGATTCCGAGAAGATTTGATTTGCGGTCAACTGTCCGGGCCAGCCAGATCTACATAAATTTTAAGCAGTAAGTTTTCTTCATCAAACCTTTAGATCCGCTGCGCTTAGGTTTATGTTGAATGTTTGTCCGTGATTTGTGCATATCGAGATCCTCGTGGGTTCCAACACTTTCTGGGTATAACCTTTCGCAACAAGCCTAGCATTAAAGGTTTCCACCTTTCCATCCGATCCCCTCTTTCTCTTGTAAACCCACTTGCATCCAATGGGATGTATCCCATCGGGTGGTTCTACAAGATCCCAGACATGATTGGTGTCCGTAGACCCCATCTCAGCTTTCATTGCAACCTTCCACGAATTTGCATCTCTATCTTCGGTCTGATTCTAGCTCTCTTGTAACTGAGTACGATGACTCTCCAAGACCTATCCATCGGTCGGGTTGTAATATCCCGATATTTTATTGGTCTAAATTATGTTTTAATTTCGATATAATAACGTTATCGATTATTATTGTCGGAATTAATTATTTTCAGTCGAGATTACCGAAATTATTTTCGACGTATCGTTTACGCCCGGAATAAAATTGGTAATTAAAGTACTATGTTTAATTGAATAATTAAACATATTCTAGTGATTAGTTAAGCAATTAATCGCACATTATGTCCTAAACTGAGACTTAGGCAATTCTTTTCCAAATTTAGCAATATGGCCAAGAGTTACCTTCATCATTTGGAAACCAAGTTTTACTCACTTAATGACATAAAAACGTGGCAACATTAGAAATAAATTAGTCATCCCAAACCCATCAATTTTGAACCAAATGTTAAGCACACAAAACGGCCACGTCGACGCATCATCACCATCCTTTACGGCACTTAGTATAAATAGAGGCTTTGGACCGAAATTTTTCCCATTTTTCCCCTAAGATAAATTCAGCATATCTCCTCCCCACCTATTATATACGTTCAGCAAGTAAGAAGGCCAAGTAACTCCATTTATTCCCTCAACTCCTCATACTATCGCACGGAAAATTTGAGCATACGCGCGGCACATGCAAGGACAAGGAATCACGCCCTATTTTCCATTTCAGTCGGACGATTGACGAGGTAACTTCCTCCTCATCTTGTAATCTGGTTGGTAAGGTCATGTTAAGGTTAAGTGTTCAAATCATGTTCGAGAATTTCTGGTAAAGCCGTGCTAAAGTTTGATTATGCTTAAAGTAAGATCATGATCAAATAACTTTCGTTTCACCAGGCAACTCTCGAACTATTAATGTTTAATTGTTCAGTTTAGCTCATTTCATGTCCAGTAAGTCCAGGTTAGTCGAGGCAAAGTGAGGTTTTGTCGATGAAATGGCCCAGCCGTCGCTAGCGCTTATCGCGCGTGGCCACGGGCAGCCTCGGGTCATGTCTTATTGCCTTCAGTAATGATCATGTTCGTCCGCGTGTTTATGTCTTAAATTGCCTCAAAATAATGTTCATGTTAAGTTATTCTGGAGTTGCCCAGGAAGAAGGTGTTTTGGCCGGGAGACGGCGTATAGCCGTCGCGGCGCACGGCGCGCCCGCCGCGGCCCTTTCATGTTCATCGTGCAATAGTTACGTTTTCAAGTCATTTTGAAAATTATATTCATGTTAAGTTAGAAAATGTTAAATGAAGTCAGTTCGGTCGGAGTATTGACTGCCGACGCGTTTGTTCTCGAGATGAGGGACTTCGACCTTATTCTCGGAATGGATTGGCTATCCTTCTATCATGCAGACATCAGGTGTCATGACCGGGAGATCACTCTCTATCTTCCGGAAGACGAATCGATCACTTTCTTCGGTTCCAGGAGTCGTTCACTGCCTCATGTTGTTTCGATGGCGAAAGCCACTAAGTTATTGCGACGAGGCAACTGCCAGGGTTATCTGGTTAGCCTTGTCAATGATTCTCAGAAAGCGCGAACACCTCATGATGTTCCAATTGTTCGCGAGTTTGTGGACGTGTTCCCAGACGAGCTTCCAGGAGGACCGCCCAACCGTCAGGTGGAGTTTTCTATCGATCTCATCCCAGGGGCCGGTCCAGTATCTAAAGCCTCATATCGTATGGCGCCTAAGGAGTTGCAAGAGCTTAAGACCCAGATTCAGGAGCTGTTACGACTCGGTTTTATCCGACCGAGCGTGTCACCATGGGGAGCACCCGTTCTCTTTGTTAAGAAGAAGGACGGATCCATGCGCATGTGTATCGACTACCGGGATCTTAACCGGTTGACGATCAAGAACAAGTATCCGCTTCCCAGGATCGACGACTTATTTGATCAGCTGAGGGGAGCCTGTGTGTTCTCGAAGATTTATTTACGATCAGGCTACCACCAGCTGAAGATTAAGGAGTCAGATATCGCTAAGACCGCTTTCAGGACTCGTTACGGCCATTACGAGTTCGTCGTCATGCATTTCGGTCTCAGCAATGCGCCAGCAGTTTTCATGGACCTCATGAACCGTATTTTCCATCCCTACCTCGATCAGTTCGTTATTGTCTTTATTGACGATATTCTTATCTACTCGAAGAGCCAGAAGGAGCACGAGGAGCATCTGAGGGTGGTTCTCGAAACCCTCAGACGAGAAAAGTTGTACGCCAAATAGTCCAAATGCGAGTTCTGGCTCCAGCGAGTATCTTTTCTGGGTCATGTGATTACTCAGGCAGGTATCGAGGTGGATCCTTCCAAGGTCTCAGCCGTTCAGAACTGGTCGACATCGAGGAGTCCGTCCGAGGTTCG